CCCTGAAGTCTCTCCACCGACCCAAGGTTAATGGGCCTGTGAATCTACTCCAAGGCCCTCCGTGACCAAAATGCCTCTGACCAGTAGTCCTCTGGCCTCTGCCTGATCACTCCAGTACATGGTGGGGTCACTACTTCAGAGTCAGCTCTTTCCATTACTAGATGGCTCTGATGAGAAGTTCTGCCTTCCATAGAGCCCCAAACCTTGGAATCCGGATGATAGATTCCATGATCTCAGAAACCTTTGGGATCAGTAGAGAGGTAGGGAAGATATACTAAGTGTGTGCACTCTTGCTCCAAGGTCCAGAAATTAGTACAAGACCAAGAAAAGTGAAAGGCAGGGGCAGCTAGGTGGTCAGAGCTCTGGCCTTAGAGTCAGGAGGACCTGAGTTCAAATCCAGCCTCAGACACTTGACACTTACTAGCTGTGTGACCCTGGGCAAGTTACTTAACCCTGATTGCCTCACCAAAAAGCAAAAAAAAAAAAAAACAACAAAAAAGAAATAAAGAGAGAAAAGTAAAAGGCCCAGGGAAAGGCAGCATAGCCCAATGGAAAAGCCTCTACTAGACTTGACATTCAGGAAGGCATAGGTTCAAATCCCCACACTCACAAGCTGTGTGATCTTGGCCACCTCTCTGGTCCTCAGTTTCCCCCTATGTAAAATGAAGGATGGCCTCTATGATTCCTCCAGATCTGAACCCACCAGTCTATGGCAGAGAAGCTTCTGGTTCAACCCACCTTCCATGTCTTATTTCACACCGTGCCCATTCATACCCTTGGGCCAAAGAGGTCTCCAGGCCCTTCCCAGATCTTGTCCCATGCCCAGGAAGAAGTCCTTCCTTCCTCCGTGTCCCCAGCCACTCTTTCCATACCTCTTAACTTGTAGTAGATAGAATTCAAGGCAAGGCTCACCCCAGACTATAACCTCTTTGGGAAAGGGAATGGTATTGTTTTTCATCTTTTTAGACCCAGCCCTAAGTATGGTGCCTTTTAATTCTGTCTATTTCATAAATATCTGTTAGTGCCTGAGACTATAAAAAGCGAGATAAGACCCCAGGCTCATGGATAGAGCCATGGGCCCTGGAGAAAAGAACACTAGATATATAGAGAGAAAGCCTGGGAGTGCCCCTTATTAGCCTTGGGACCACGGGCAACTCACTTTACATCTAGGAACCCACATTTCCTCCTCTGTCGCTTGTGAGGATTGGATCAGATGATGCTGATAACAGCAACTACCACTCAAATGTTATACATATAGTCTTTTTTTTTTTTCACTTTTTGGTGAGGCAATCAGGGTTAAGTGACTTGCCCAGGGTCACACAGCTAGTGTCAAGTGTCTGAGGCAGGATTTGAACTCAGGTCCTTCTGCTTCCAAGGCTGGAGCTCTTATCCACTGCACCACCTAGCTGCCCCACTCATATAACATTTTTAAGGTTTGCAAAGCACAGTACAGATATTTTCTCATTTGAGATCCTCATGAAAAGTATGATACTATTATTTTACAGGTAAGAAAACTGAGGCAGACTTGCCCAGGATCGCAGAGTTAGCCAGACTGTGAGGCAGAATTTGAACTCAGGTCTTCCTAACACCAAAGCCCTAACACTTTAACCCAATGCATCCCCTCATTGCCAAGGTCCCTTTCTGTTTTAATAAGCTATCCTCCTATGAATTTACGATCCAGTCCAAGGTAAGATAAGCATACAAATAACTATGATACAAGTATAATGACATGCATACAGTAGGTGCTTACTAATTGTTGGCTTGGAATGGATTGAAGGGAAAGAAGAGACTTTGAAGCTGGAGTTTACTCTAACAACCAAAGAGAGAGCATGGGCTTCTGGGGGTGGGTTCACAGAGCTGCCCAAATCCCTGATTTCTGTGACAATGAGAAACTCTCCTTGGATGTGTCAGAAGAACCGAAAGATGAAGCCACGTGTGAACCAGTTCCTAAAAGGAAGCAATTTTCTAATTCAGAAGGCAGAGCTGAAGCCACCTGAGCTTGCTTGGAGGGTGCATCTGCACAGGCACTCAATAAATACTTACTGAATTAACTGCTAATCTCAAATTTTATCTCTGTTACACAGAACAAGTTAAAGCTATTGTTAGCTTCACCAAGAAGCTAAGCTTCTTTTTCTTATTTCTCTTGACCTTGGTCTCAACAGCACAGATGGTCTTAATGATGATAATGACATTGATTAGCATTAGAATCAATCAGTCCAGAAGTATTTATTAAGCACCTACTGTGTCCCACTAAATTGTAAGCCCCTTGAGGGCAGGGACTCTCTTTCGCCTCTTTTTTCTATCCTCAGCCCGTAGCATACTGCCCGGCACATAGTAGGTGCTTAATAGATGTTGGTTGTTTGAGTGATCAGTTGCCAGACCCAGAGGAGAGGGGATTCGCGGTAAGATGTCAATAGAAAAGCTCACCTCCGATTTTGGTGGTTGTTGGTTTGGGTTTTTTTAATCTTAAATTTTTTTTTCATTAAGTAAAGGCAATGTGATAGCTTGGGAACAGAGACTAGAGACATATTAGGAAAGGTGAACATAAGCTGGAGAAGACATGGTGAAAGCCTCTTTAAACCTCAAGCCCATACCGGGCCTGCATCCTCAGACCTGGCTTGGAACATTGGAAGAAAGGTACGCATCTAATCAGAAACAGCGACTGAGGAGTCTGGAACGTTAGACAAGTGACCGCTTCTGTTAAGTAAGAAGAGGGGGAAAAGGAGGTAACGACAAGGAGAAATGACAGAGCTCCCCCAGACAAACAGATTTCTTTTTAAAAGGTCACAAAATCAATACGCTGACTCCTAGCACCAAATCCAAGGTCACAACCAGTATGACCTCACAAAAAGGGGGGCCCGTTGGACTTATCGCATCGCTTTCTAAAACAAAGATTTGTCTTTGTCTAAACCCGGCAGGCAGATGTGGGGGGGGGGGGCGATAAGATTTTACCCGGAACGTGCTCTTCTGTAAAGTAGGAAAATACACGTGCTTATCGAGTGGGTGGAAGGGCAGAGCCCCGTGGAGAGGCTGGGAGCTGGGAACAACAAGGCCTGACCTTGGCCCCAAAAGGGCTGTGCGTTTGCTGCATCCAGTGACCTAGATGGCGAAACAGAGTGTGCTCGTTAGCTAATTCAGTGTGCGGATGACACCAGGCCAGGGGAGGCGACTGACACCTCCAAACACGAGCGCCACCGTTCCATTTTGGTGTAAACTGCAGAAATGGTCTGACAAGACCAGAATGAACCGGTTTGCTGAAGCCAGACACAGAGCATTCTAAGCAGACAGAACGTCCAAGGGCAGGCTAGGAAAGGAGAGGCTTCTTGACAGCACAACAGGCCGGGTTCAAGGCAACAGCGGGATGGCAAGTGCGCGGATCAGGGTGGTTCTCCCTGTGTAGATTAACTTGAAATCGAGAGGCAGGGAAGGGCAGGGGCAAGGGCAGTGATCAGCTCTGGAGTTAAAGCACACTGGTTAGAACCCTGGCGTGGCTGCCCAGTATCTGGGGCACTGACGAGGAAGTAACACGTCACTTCTCTCTAGGCCTTACTTCTCTCCAGGGTTAATCTAAGTGACGCCAAAGGCCCTGTCCAGCTTTTAATCCTATGATCCGAGACACTTCTTAACAGGGCATTGGGAGGGAAAATTATGATCCCCCAAACTCCTTTAGTCCTGATTTGTAGGAAGCATGAAAATATTTCCCTTTGTCAGCTTTCTCTTTTGTTTTGAAAGAGGAAAGGAGGGAGGGAGGAAAGAAGGAAGGAAGGAAGGGAGGGAGGGAGGGAGGAAAGGAGGGAAGGAGAAAGAAAGGGAAAAAAGGAGGAGAAAAAGGAAGGAAAGGAGGGAGAAAGGAAGGGAGGAAGAAAGGAGGGAAGGAGAAAGAAAGGGAAAAAAGGAGGAGAAAAAGGAAAGGAGGGAGAAAGGAAGGGAGGAAGAAAGGAGGGAAGGAGAAAGAAAGGGAAAAAAGGAGGAGAAAAAGGAAGGAAAGGAGGGAGAAGGGAGAGGAGAGGAAGAAGGGAGAAAGGAAAGAGGGAAGGAAAGAAGGAAGGATGGGACAGAGGGAGGGCTGGAGGAAGGAAGGGAGGGAAGAAGAAAGGGAGGAAAGGAGGAGGAAAAAGGGAGCAAAGGAGAGAGGGAGAGAAGGAGGGGAAGAAAGGAAGGAGAGAAGAAGGGGAAGAAAGGAGGGAGAGAGGAAGAGGGAAGGAAGAAGAAAGGGAGGAAAAGAGGAGGAAAAAAGGGAGGGAAGGAAGAACGAAAGAAGGAAGGAAGGGAGGGAGGGAAGGGTGGGAGGGAGAGAAGGAGGAAGGAAATCTCCAAGCTTTTGAACATGAAATCAAACAAATATGCCTCTTTCAGTTAAAAGCTGAACCTTATCCACCAAGGATATAATCCCTCACTCTGGAGAGACTGAGTCACTTGTCTCTAGCTGGCATTTCTACCACATTTCAAGAGTCTTATGAGTTTTCTAAATGAAGCTACAAAACCTTCCAGAAAGACAGGTATTAACCCCTTGGGGGAAGCATGCTGCTCAGGGAGTGAGTGGGGAAATTAGAAAAGCAAGCTCAGGAATCTCAATTATTGCCACAACCACTTAGCCTCCTAAGTCTGCTACCAAGCCCAAGGGAAGCAAACTACCTCTTTTTGTGAGGCCCTGACACAAGAAGGTATTTAACACTTGGTCCTGGTACAACAGTATGAGAGATTTCTCATACTCCAGAGATTTCATGGGATTTCATGGGATTTCTAGCCAGGAACAATCTTAGAAAACATTTTGTCCAAACCCCTTATTTTACAAAGAAGGAAAATGAGGTCCAGAGGTGAAGAAATGACTCATCCAAGGTCACACAGTAAGTAGCCAGTTTAAACCAAAGTCCCCTGACTCCAAACCCAACGCTTGTTCTCTGGAGTGAAGTGACGTCCCACCTCCGGTTGGGACACAGACTCCCCGGGCCCCATCTTTAGTTTCTCCTCAGGCGTCCGTCGATGGCAAGTGTCAGTACCTGAGCTTGCAGCTGAGTGGACACAGCTTGCTGGTCATTCTCCCGAAGGGTCAGCTTTTTCTGCAACGCCATTAACTGCTCCTGCAGTCGGCCCTTCTCTTCCTGGAGCTGGGACATGGACTCCACCATCTTCTGGATCATGGGTAACTGGTGGGCCCCAGGTAGGCCTGAGCACTTCCCGCTGCCAAAGAGCCTCCCACCTGTAACCAAAAGGAGCATCAGCTGGGGCCCCCCACCCCGCAGGGCTCCCTGGGGCAGGTAAAGGGCAAGGGTGGCTGGGCCAGTGTCAGGGGGGTTCAGCCAACGGCTCAGCGTTATCACAAGCTTTCCTGAGCAGCTCAAGTGACTGGTCATGAGATCGATGGAAATAGAAATGAGGACGTCAGTGGAGAGATCTAACGGGGAGCCAGGATGCCTGCCCTGGGAAGCAATTCAGAATGGAAGCCACACTACAGACACCACCTCCAGATGGACTCAGGGAGGGAGCGTGGGAGCCAGGGCGGGGAACCTGCCTGACAGAAAACTACTTTAGTGGACAGCTTGAGGCTCTCCTGTTCCCTGGTTCAGTGTGACGAGGGGCACGAGGTGGAAGGAGGAGGAAGCAGAGCCTCCGTGATTCTCTAGACATCGGAGACGTGCGAAAATGTTTCCTAGGAGGGACCTCGGAGGGCGTCTTGTCATTTTACATCTAGCAACCCTGCCATTTTACAGATGAAGAAACTGAGGCTCAGACAGAGAAAATGGGTGGCCCCAAATCTCACAGTAAACTAATGCCACAGACAAGACTCAAGCCGAAGGCATTTTGAGCCCCCAGCCCAATACCCTCTTCACTCTCTGCACCTTACTCAGCGTAAGAAATGTCTTTATTATACTCTGAGCTTTTTAGGAGCTAAGAATGAGCACACTGATGCCCCTTCATCACTGTGTGGGAGTGCAAGTGTTCAAGCCTCAAAAAAGATTCTTCTTGGTTACCGAAAAACCTTCGCCCAAACAACTCAGAGAGGAAGGAAAGCCCAAACATTCCTGGCAACAGAGGCGAGCCAAGCTCATCCTCATTTACGGAGCCCCAAGGGAAGTGGCGACCTGCATGGGAGGGGATGAAGTGGAAGTGGGTGTGTATGCCATGTATGCTCGTCTACCAAAGCAACAAAGAGGAAGAAAGACAGAATGATAGGTTGAGACACAGAGGAGGGACACATTATGCCAGGCTTGAAACAGCCACACCCTCCCCATGATGCTTCCTCCCCACGCACCAGAGCCCAGTGGAATGCACAGAGTGACCACACAAGCATGTGAAGGTTATAAATACCGAGCTGCCCCTGTGCCTCAGGCCGAGGAGGAGATCCTCTCCCACTGCCTCCCGCATTCCTGTCACCAGGAGCAAGAAAAGAGAAAGACAGACAGACACAGAGACAAGGCCCGTGATATGTCCATATGATCTGGGATTTCCTCCCTCCCCGCCTCCCACCACCCAAATAAGTCCAACTGGTATTAAGGTACCCTGAGAATGGAGAAAGAGAACCCCTCTGCCCCAGGATCAGCAGCAAATGGGACAGCTGAGTGTGGCAGATGCAGAGAGACAGGGAATGTGAGAACAAGGCTGTCACTTTCCACAGAGGTCTGCAACATAAGACAGAGGCAGCCAAAACCCAAGAATGCAATAATGAAGTGTCAAAGAGAAGCAGCTTAGAGCTGAGGGAAGCCCTTCCCCATCTCCAACCTCCATGGGCAGCCCTCCCTCCCTCCCTCCTCCTCCTCCTCCTCCCCCCTAAGGTTCACTCGTATCTACAAGCTGGCAAAGGGTGATTCCAGGCTGTTGTGAACAAAGCCTTCTCTTAGACTAAAACCACATTCCTCTATGGAAACTACAAACCAAATGTGAGCTTCCATATCATTGCTGAAAAGCCTCAGCTTAGAGAAGGGGAAGGGAAGGAGGGCAGATCGCTCTTGGAGGAGAAATAAAGGTGAGGAGGAAGTTTTCAGGAAAATATACCATAAACTCAAAAGGACTGAGTCCATAGAAAAGGAGAGAGAGGAGAGAAAGAGACAGAGACAGAGAGACAGAGACAGAGATGGTAGAAAGACATAGATTATGAAAAGAGATATAAGGGATAGATGATAGATAAGATAGAGAAATAGAAAGGTAGAGGAAGATAGAACACTAGATTAATAGATGAAAGATGAAAGAGATAGATGATAGAAAGATAGATACAGAAACGGACAGATATAGATATGAGATACAATAGAGGGATAGAAAACAAACTGATAGATATAGATATGAGACATAGATAGATAGATAGATAGATAGATAGATAGATGGATGGATAGATGGATGGATGGGTGGATGGATAAAACATCAATTAAGCACTTACTATGTGCCAGGCACTAGGCTAAGCTCTCAAAGAAAAATCAAGCTCAGCAGTTCCTACCCTCAAGGAGCTTACATTCTAATGGGGGCATACCACACATAAGGAAAGAATGGAAAGGGGGCAGAGGCCACCCAGGCAGGGCCATGTTGAGGACACTGTGGGAAATTGTGTGGAGGCCTGGGCCCTGGCAAGATAAGGCAAGCAGAAGAAGAGGGTGGGGGCCAAGCCCTTTGTGAAAACATTGCCCAGTTTTAATTCTCTGTAGCAGTATTTCCCTCACACCAGACCTTGGTGAAAGTGAAGACCTCATTCCCACCCAAAGGCAGAGATGAGGCTACAGTTTGAACACTTGTCTCTTCTCCTTCAGAACAGAGTCTGCCCACTGCTGCAATGTGTTTCCCTCCAGTTAACATTCCCTGGGTGGCTAAAGGTTGGCAGGATGAGGGGGTCAATGTAACGACTTGGCTCCTGCTGAGTGAACTTGACTGGGAGTTTCTGAATGTCTCACGCATGTAGAGAGCTCACAAACCAAAATCCTCCTATCTGTCCTCGAGAGAGGAGGTTAGAAGAAATGATGGTCTAGAACCTTCGTGCAAAGCTCCATCCAAGGGAACCATTTCTAAGCTCCAGAGGACCCGTGGGACCCTCTCCCGACTCCTCCTAAACTCCCCTGCCCAGAACTTCGCCCAGGACTTCTACTACATGAACATTGCATGAGGTGTTGAAACTTCCAACAGATCATGAAACTGGGGCTTTGCATCAAGGACAGATCATTCCATAGCCATTCTTGGCCCAAGCTCTTCATATTTTGTTCTAAGGGTTTGGTCTGACCTCTGTATACTATACCTGGCCAGCTGTTTGGCAAGGGGGTGAGGAAATGGCAGAGTCAGCCAGGAACAGCAGCAGCAGCAGCAGAAGCAAAAATAATCTCGAGGGCACTTGCAAGCATAAGAGGGTTTTCAGGGGTAGATGAGCAAAGCTTTAGCAATGAGGAAGATCATGAGATCAGACCCGGTCCAAGATAAAAAGCAGAAGGGAAGAAGGTGAGAGGAGCACATAGTGAACCAATGGCTAGGTCCCTTCCCTTCACAGAAGCCTCCCTCCCATCAGGGACCGGATTCAGGAGCTGCCCTCCCAGCCTCTGGTCTCTAAGTAAGGTCTGCTTAATGGGGCACCCCAGGCTGAGGCTCCAATCCATTCCCCTACTAATTTGCTTTTTTTTTCCTTTTCTTCATCTGAATCTCCCGCCTCTCCTAAAGCCCTGACTCTTTCTGTTACCACCTCCAGCTCCTCCCTTCGCCCGCAAAACACCCCAAGTCGGCATTCACAGGACAGACACAGCTCAGAGGAAGCCGATAGAGCGAGAGGGGAACCTGGGGAGTGGTTCCAGCCACTGTACCTGGGCAAGTTCAGACACACAGTTAACCTTGGCAGAAAGGAGAAAGGAAACAATCCACCGAGCCCTGACTTATCTTTTTGCACACTTTCTGCCCAGTTTCCTCTCTTGGGGAGGATGCTCCCTCATATGTAAACACCCTGAGCTCCCTACATTCCTCCTCCCTGCCCTGACAGAAGGAGCCAACAGAAAAAAGCACAGCCAGGGCGGTCAGACAGTCATCATAGTTAACCTACCATTATTGCCTCTAAGACCTCTCCAAAAAGGGGAGGGGGACACAGACCCTTCCTTCCACTCACAAGGCAGCAAACACATCATGGGATCACTGATTTAGGGCTGGACGGGACCTCAGCGACCATGCCAACCTAATCCTCTCATTTTACAGATGGAGAAGATGAATCCCCTCTCCAGAAGGTGAGTGACTTACCTAAGGTCACGCAGCTAATAAATAGTACAGCCAGGATTTGAACACAAAGCCTCAGATTCTAGACCCTGTGCTCCTTCTACAGCAACAGGCTTTGTCTCTTTTGCCTGACTGGCCCAGAGATCTTTCACAAAGTGCTAGAGATCAGAGGAGGGGGATGAGGTACCTTTCACAAGCAAGAAACTGTATCTTTGGGGCTACCATTCTCTCCTCCTCCCTACAAGAACGCAAGGCAAGACAAAAAACACTGAAACTCAACCCCAGGGCTCAGTCACTGAAGCCGGCAATCACCTGGTTACAGGTGGGGAAGGAGAGTGGGGGGGGGGCAGGGAGCAAAAGGTTATATAGCACAGGCAAAGAGTTTCTGAAAAGTGAGGGACCAGGAGCATTCGACTTAGAAGGAAGGGATTAATCAGATATGTCTGGAGTTTCAGCCTGGACTGTGCAAAGGCGGGAAGAGGAGCGGACTTCGGGGCTGATCATAGCATGACCTTCCTGCTCCCTGCGGGTTGCCAAGCCAGCTACTGGCTGCTTTCGGAGCTGCCCCTGCCTCGCGGCTATTCTCTGGCCCCTTCCGCTATTTACCTGGTTTCTCAACATTCATGGTGTGGGCTTCCTTTGCCTGGGCCAAGTCTCGGGCCCGCTTGGGGGCCAGGGCCGGCCTCTTCTGCTGCTTCTCCTCCTTCTTCTCCTGACTCTTGCATGCACACACCTTGTCCTGCAGTGCCTGCGGCCAAGACACAACCACAACTCCTGTAAAGGGCATTGCAACACTGGCAACAGAGATGCCGCAGCCTGGTGTCCTCGATGCCAAAGGGACGAGGAGGAGAAGGAGGAGGAGGAGGAGGAAGAGGAACCTCAGGGTCATTGAGAACCCCCACTCCAGTCACCCAGTAAGATGGTCAGGTGTCTGAAGATTCTCAGGTTACCCAGCACCTCACAGCAAGCATGGCAAAGCTGAAAGGGCCCCTGAGGCGATCTGCCCCGACCAATTCCCTCATCTTGACATGGGAGGGCACCTAGCTCAGGCAGGCATGGAGAGGGCACAGCATTATCTGTGAGGCCAACACCCACCAAAGTACTACTGAAAGCTGGGGAGGAACCTCAGAGGTCACCGTGTCCAACCCCTTTGTTCTGCAGATGAGGAAACTGAGGAAATGGTGACTGCCTAGGGTTACAAAGCTAGTAAGGGTCTGAAATAGGATTAGAATTCTTGTTCACTGTTCGGTAGCTTTTCAGTCCTTTCTGATTCTGCAAGACCCCATTTGGGTTTTTCTTGGCAAAGATACTGGAGTGGTTTGCGTTTCCTTCTCCAGCTCATTTTACAGAAGAGGAAACTGAGGCAAACAGGGCAAAGTGATCTGCCCAGGGTCACACAGCTAGGAGGAAGTGTCTGAGGTCAGATCTGAACTCAGGAAGTTGAGTCTTCCTGACTCCAGGCCCATCGCTCTGTGCATCATGGTGCCCCCTAACTGCCCTAAAAAACAGGATCTGAACCCAAGTCCTCTTGACTGCAAGCTCAGCACCTCTCCACTAAGCCATGTCTACTTGCAGTATCTGCTTGGAGCTCATGACTACTCTATGACTAAGGCTCTTTAGATAATCTTATCTCCATTTTATGGATAATTTGCCTGAAGTCTGAAAGGTTAATTTACTTTCTCTGGGTCTCACAGCTAGTGAAGTATCAGATGTGGGATTTGAAACAAGGCCTTCCTGACTCCATGTCTCATACCACATGCACTGCACGTGGCTTCTTTTTACAGAGAAAGGAAGGTCACATTGCTAGGACATGGAAGGGCCAGGCCAGCTGATGTATTCCCTTGCAACCACAACACAGCCTTCTCTGTAATCAAAATTCAAGAAAACAACCGTCCCAGAACTGCAAGGCTAGAGGAAGGAGGTTAGCAAGCAGCTCCTGGCCCTCCAGCACCCTCCTTCACTGCAACAGTGCTCCCCCCCATGTTCTTTCAGCTCTCGTTGAGGACCCCTCGTGACTTAGATCTTTCTGTGTAAGGCCATTCACAGAGAAGCAATCCTTGGGTGCTTTTGGCTCAAACTAACAGCACCCAGGCCTTCCCCTCTATGACACAGTGCCGTTTCCCTTTAGTGGTCACTTTATAGAGGACGAGTCAGAAGCCCAGAGTCTTCTGGTGGGTTACGATGGCAGAGCAAGGGCTACTTACCAACTACCCAGCCTGCTGCCCCCACTACAACCCACCACCCAAGCTTGGTGTGATGCTCCCAAGACTGCCAAGAGATCAGGCAAATGCCACGGCCTGGTGACAGCACCCTGACTTGTCAAAGGCACTTTGGAAAGGTAGCCACAGTGAAAGATAGCAACAGAAGGAGGGATGGAAGAAAATAGGGGGGAAAAAAAGATAATGAGCTGCAGTGGACAGTGGGGATCCCCTCATGAAGGGATATTTATTTTCCTGTCCAGAAACTGGCAAATATGGAAAATGGGAGCATGGTGAAGATAAAAAGGAAAGCACAATTTTAAAAGGACAAGCTTGGGCATGAAATAGTCTGTACTTGGAAAAATGATGGCACTCTATTGATGGTTAATAATTATGCAGCACTTCAAAGTTTGCAAAGCACCTCATAGAGTTTATCTCATTTGTTGTTATTACTCCTATTTTACAGATGAGGAAACTGAGGCAAACACAACTTAAGTGACTTGCCCGGGGGTCCCACAGCTAGGAAGTGTCTGAGGTAGGATTCAGACTCAGGTCTTCCTGTCTCCAGGGCTAACACTGTACCCACTGTGCCACCTGGCAAGCTCCAGGACCATTCAGTCCCAGAAAAAGTTAAGTTGTTGCTAGTGGCTGAGGGTCCTCTGAAGTTGATTTCTGCCACCTTGAGTCTGCCAGAATGACAGCTATTCACCATCTTGTCTCAGATTCCCCAAGAAAGAGTAGGCTCTCACAGGAAGGCACTTCTGATCTGAACGTACCCCCCCCCCCCAGTCCTTGGCAAACCGGCCAACTTCTACTCCTCTTGTGCTGAGGAAGGTAATGAGCTTTAGGTCTCCAGCTGGACCTCTCGTCCATGATCTCAAAGCACGTGAAAACATAAGAAGTTTTCCCAGGAGCTAGAGAGGAAGTGGATTTTTCCAGACTTACTTTGTATCAGAAGAGAGGCCCAGAGGTTAAAAGCTCAGAATTACCCAAGCAACTCAGAAATGGAAATTGGAAACAGATTTTGCTGACTTCCAAGTATTCCCTTCCAACCACAACACAGCCTTCTCTGTAATCAAAATTCAAGAAAACAACCGTCCCAGAACTGCAAGGCTAGAGGAAGGAGGTTAGCAGGCGGCTCCTGGCCCTCCAGCACCCTCCTTCACTGCAGTAACTCCCGGCAGGAGCATCAAAATCGTTTCCCTAACCTTGTGACTGCTTGCCCAGACCAGTCTTTCCTCAGACATTACATAAAACAGGACAGGGTTCTTGCTGTCACGTCCCTATTGTTTCCCTACACAAGAACACCCCAACACACCTTTAGCCATAAAGGATTTCAAAGAAGAGACATTGAGGTGCAAAAACTACTTAAACAAACTTCAGAAATGGTACCTCGGAGCCAACAGGAGCTTCCTACCCTCAGTGACCTGCTCAGCACTCACAGTAGAAATGAGGAAACTGTGCTTCACCCCTGGGCTCATACCCCCATCTGGCTTTTTATTATTATTATTATTAATGATAATGATGATGGTGGCTGGCATTTATGTAGCATTTTAAGGTTTGCCAAGGGCTTCAACTCATTTATCATTACTGCTACCCTCTGAGATAAGACACTATTCTCATCCCCATTTTACAGATGAGAAAACTGAAAATGGTTAAGGGACTTGCCCAGGGTCATAGCAATAATAACAGCTCACACTTATAGAGTGCATTAAAGCTTGCAAAGCACTTTTATATATATATATATATATATAATTATTATAGTAACTATATTATTTTCACTTGAGATCCTCACAACAATCCTGTGAGTCTGGGGGATGAGATGCTATTATTTTTTGCTAATTTATAGGTGAAGAAACTGAGGCAGAGAGAGGCTAATCATGGAGTCACAGAAACTGGTACTTGAAGCAGGATTCAAGCTCAGGCCTTCCTGCTTCTGGGTCCCAACACTCAAGCACAGGGTAACAGAAGTCTTTGCACTGGTTTTATGCACACATGACAGCTTCCCTGTGTGTTTAAACCAGTCAGGGAGATAAAGGGATAGGATCAGAAGGGGCCTTCATTTTATAGAGGAGGAAACCAATCACAGGGCTAGCAGGTGGTAGGGCCAGGGACTCTTGACTCCCATTATCAATAATAACAAGCATTTATACAGCGTCTTAAGTTTGCAAAATTCTTTGCCAATATTACCTCATTTAATCCTTGCAACAAGCCTGTCAGGTAGGTGCGCTTATTTTCCCCATATACTTGATGATGACAATATCACAATAAATAGTTAACATTTATACAGCACTTATTTCAATCGAATTTTTACACATGGGGAAAGTGAGGCTGATGATTAAGGGACTTGCCCAGGTGACACATCTAGGAAGTAGGTGAGGCTGGACCCAAACTCAGGTCTTCCCAGCTCCCAAGTCCAGCACTCTCTTCACTGAACCACAACCCCTCCAACACACTGATTCCCACAGCAAACCTCTATGCCTGCAAGGGAAGGGAGCCCAAAGGGCCAAGAAGGCCACTGCCAGATCTGCCATCTTCTCTCAGGAAGAGGTGAGAAGGGTGAGAATTCTCACTGGCCTACAGCACATGAAACCCTTTTCTATCTCTTTTTACAGCATTTTGGGCAAGTTTTGGAAATGAATCAAAAAACATGGAAGAATGTATGAATGAACCCCGATGCGACTGGCCAGGTTGCTCAATGCTACCTATCCTCCCCGAGGTGTGCCCATGGAACTCAGCAGAAATGACGGACAGTCCCATTTTATTGTGTTCAACACCTTTGTCAGGGAGAGGTGGAGAACCTTCTGTCATCTCTTGTTAGATCTTCATAAGATATCTTAATAAGGCAAATTGCTTCACCTGGTGCAGGCTCCCAGGGAGGATATGTGCTAAGGATTCAGGCAGGAAGACAGATCTCAATCTCTCCCCTGATAGCCCTTTCCCCTGAAATGCTTACAGTGGACAGAGCCCATCCTCCTCCCCCTTTCTTCAGAAGACCTGAGGATTTCATCTCCCTCAGAGGTGAATCCTTACCTGGACAGTCAGGTAGAGTCTCCGAGGGCTCCCAGGACCGGACCAGTCCACGCTGAGGGCTCGGCGCTGAGCCGGAGTTGGTCGGGTAGAGGTCTGGCCTGAATCCTCTTCACTGCCACCAAGGGTATCTTTACTGAGCCCTTTCAGAAAATAAAACTTGAGTTAAAGAGATTTCACCAATCAATCAATCAGCATTATTTTAAAGTGCCTACTCTGTGCTAGGCACTGAGTGTCTAAGCACAAAGCAGGAAACGGGTCCTGTGAATGACCTTCCAAATACAGAAGCTGACATTGAATGTAATCTTGATGTCATGCACCATGCCCTGGTTCCCAGCCCCACCATCAGCCAGGTGAGCAAGGCTCAGTCATTGATCTTATGTGGCTACAGGGGATAAGTGGTCCAGAAGAAGAACTGACTGAAGACAAAGGAATGATTCTCTTTTTAGGGGCAGCTAGGTGGTACAGTGGATAGACCACCAGCCCTGAAGTCAGGAGGACCTGAGTTCAAATCCAGCCTCAGACCAAACACTTGCCATGTACTAGCTGTGTGACCTTGGGCAAGTCATTTAACCCCGACTGCCTCACCAAAAAAATAAAATAAATGGTTCTCTTTTTGGAAAACATTCTCAGCAGGCCATGGCTTTTTCCTTGGTGCCATGATTTCCTGGAGCTTGGCTATTCCCTTTGTGGGCTTTCTAGCCATTTCCCTACCTCCCCTTCTCGCTTTCTTATATTCAGCCCAGTTTAGTTGCTTGTTAGGACCCTAGAGAGGGAGAAAGAGGATAGGGCAACACCAGACCCCTTCTGCCACTGGTTAGCAGGTCTGCTCAAAGGGAGAGGTCAAAACTCCTGCGTAAGTTGATTAACTGTGGGTTTTAGTTTCAATTATCTCATCTATCCTCACCCCCTAAGTGTACTACTGATAACACTGAGCTGAACATCTCTCAGATGGAAATTTCATGCCTGATTCCTAAGACCTCTCTGGCCACTCATTAAAACAAATGCTTGCTGTGAAGCCTCAGTCTCAGCTGTCTTTTTTTTTTAAAAAAAAAAGCCCTCTCTAATAGTCTAAAAAAAGACTTCACATGCTTTTTCAAGTCTCACCTCTTTGTTCCCTTGGCCTAAGGTTTGCTGAGAAGGAGCTGTCTCCTTGCAGTGAGAGAGCTGAGTGGTACAACTATGCCTTCTAGCCCGAGAAACACCGTCCTGTTCTAGCTCAGCCCATAGGAGGTCTGGCCTTGCCCTGGGGTGATCAAATGGGGTAACTTACGTCAGGTGCTTTGCGAATTGTAAAGCACAGTATAAAAGATGAGAAGTCATCATCATCACTAATATTTTTCCTAGGTCCAAAGGAGACCAGGTCAGTTTCCAGGCCACACTAGGGGTTGGAGCTAGCCTTAAAGCAGATAAAACTAACGATCAGATTGGTCAATCTGATGGCCTTTTCTGAGTCCTCACCCTGTCTTAATCCTGTCTCCCCAGAGTGGACAATAACATTCTATGTTGCCCCATAGTGAATGGGGACCTCCTTCTTGGGAAGGTGGGAAACCTTAGTCTCATCTCTGGGATGTGAAGAAAAATGGAAACAGATACGGAGGAGCTAGCCTTTGAGGTAACTAGCATTCAAAGAAACCTCCCAAGGAACTTTTCTTTATCCAGCTTACTAGCAATGGCAAGGACCATCCCCATGACGCCCAATTTCACTTAAGACGCCGTGAAACAAAAGGATTGATTCCCAACCACCCAGACAACAGCGGCACTAAAAAGTCTTTCCTTCTCTCTTGCTCCGCGGCCAAAAATAAATAAATACACTGAACGTAAGGAGGGTTACCTAAGCCGGGCAAGAGAGCGGAGTCACGTGCAGCTCTTGATTCCAGACAATACTGCCTTTAAAACTCCACCAGACTATTTAGCTGACATCTCGATAGCCCTTAGTCAAGTCCCCCAACATCAGTAAAAGGGGAAGAGCTCAAACGAGCTGCCGGATGAGTCTGAGGCTCCGGCAAGCAGACGAGGTGAGCCACACTGGGACTTCCCCGTTGCCAGTCCCTTCGCGCTCCTTCCCAGGAAGTCCATTCCGGTGCCTGGAACTAAGTACCCTGGAGAGAGCTGAACACGGGAACCCCCTAGAGACCCCCAAACAGCCGCGGGATGTCCTGGACTGGTCCCCAAACACGACCTACTAACAGAGCTCCGAGCAGGATCAAATGTCACTAGCCTGCGAAGAAAACATTAGGCAGACACTTCACTTACCTTGTTTACGAGTCGGAGGGAGAAGAAAAGCTGCAAAACCAACAGCTTCCAGGTGACAGACAAAGGGGAACCGGTCTAGGGCCACCTGGGCAGCGCAGACATCACACCTTTTTTTTTTCCTTTTCCTTTTTTTTTCTTTTTTGCTATGGATTGTTAAAGTTTAACTTTCCTTTCAAGACTTTGCTTTGCAGTCAGAAAAAGAAAGAAGGACACCCAGATTCCCGGGGAGCCTCGGCTAGAGCTTCTGGGCAGCCAGTTGGTTACCCTGTAATTACCTGCCTGCTTATGACTGGGTTTAGGATTCAGTGGGAGACTTTAGTCTCATCTCTGGTATCTGGAGGAAAAAAAAAACATTTTAAAAATGCGGACTCACCAGTTCTCCACCTCCCCTGGCTGGCGTGTGGGAAAGGGCGGGAGCACGGGGAGGCGGGGCTGGCCATCACAGGATCCCCACTGTCCTGGGCACAGCTTCCTTTCCACGGGGCCCTGGCAGAGGGAGCGGTTCCCGGATTCCAGGTCTTCAGAGATGTAATCATGGCACGGGGTTCAATGGCCCACAGGCTCCTGGGGACCTGAGGACAAGGAGGAAAAGGATGTAGCAGGGGTGGGCAGCCTGGCTTCCCAGGAAGAGGCAGTCCAGGCCCCGATGTAGCTGCGTCCAAGAGGCTGGCTTCAGAACTGTCTGGTTCTTTTAAAATGTCCACACAGAAGAGCCTTCTGGGTGAGGGTCTGGGGACATGTCACCTGATCTGGGGACAGAGAACAGCTGAAACAGAGCTTCCCCCTCAGCCTCTAGCTGGGTCCCTCACCAAGTGAGCAGACACAACCAAACACCAGCGGGGGGGGGGGGGGGGACTGGGATTTAGTCCAGGCTCTTGTCCCTGAGGAGGAGGCCCTTCCTTGGTCACCGCCTGTTCTTTGGTCCTCATTTCCTCAGCTATAAAATGAAGGGGTCAGACTAGACGGTCCCTCCAAGAGGGCCCAGAAGGAACAGGGGATAAACCAATCAGTTAGTTAACATGAAACAATCTTCATTACCCTGGTTAAAGTGGACTCATCCCAGGGTGATCATCTGGGAAAAAAGAAAACCTGTTAGAAAGTATGCCCTGTCAGTCTCTGACTTTGCTGTGCCTCAGTTTCCCCACCACGGTGCCTGTTGGTGTGTAGGCATGCTTAAATATACAAACATGTTCCTGAAAAAATATAACTACTAACATTTCAGTAGTCCTTTAAGTTTCACTCAGCCAATCAGTCAATAAGCATTTATTAAGCACCTACTATGTGCCAGTAGCTCTATTAAGTGTTGTGAATACACAAAAAGAAAAGAGCACAATAAATCTGACCCTGATGGGAAGGAGTCCCAAGAACATGGTCCTGAGAGCCATGGGACCTTAGAACATGGCAGCCTAGGCTAGATGGGGCAGGTGAGCCAGCAGTCAGTTGGCTGGCATGGGGTTGGGAGTGGTGAGATGCCTGTCCACCAAGGGGAAGAATCTCACCCCACTCCCAAGATGTTGGAACCTGGGGCACAACCTCTTTTGTCTTATGCAGATTCTCATCCTTCCTCCACTTCTTCAACCCTTCAACGTGAGCACTCCCTCCATTGGTGCAAATTACAACCCATCTACCTTTCTTCATTCTAGGTGTCTCTTGCCCACATGGCTCCCAGGAATCTGAGTGCCTTCCTCCAGGTCTCTTAGCATCACTCAGGTACCAACACAGCCAGCGATCTGCCAAGCTGATACCCCTGGCTCATGCCACACAACTAGTCCCTCTCCTTTCCTAATGAAGTGCCCTGCAGCTACCTTTCACATTGCTTCTTGTACTCATGTAGTCAATGACAATATGCATAAACAAGCTCCACTCCCCACTTCATCTCCCCATTCTGGGTGACCACAAGCTTGATTCTTCAGAGACTGGGGCATTCTGTGATTCACAGCATCCAGCACTGGAAGACCAGCAAGGTTTATAAGATGTGTCTTTTGTTTCAGGGAGAAGCCGAGGAATCAATATAAAGAGCTGGGCAGTTTCGCAAAGGCAATCTGGCCCATTCTTCTTGTCCTGTTCAATTCTGTGCCTAACGCACCATGGAGTTGCATTCCAGTCCAATCTAATCCAATCCAACCAACAGATATGAATTACTGGATAAAGACAGAGGTCCGTGCTGGGCACTGTGGAGACAAGCACTCAACAAAAACCAAAGGCTTGCTTTGCTGGATCTGTATGTCTGTGTGTGTGTGTGTGTGTGTGTGTGCGTGTTCAAATGATCCAGTTCAACGGGGCATATATCACAGGCTGAATTCCTCTCTTGGTTGGTTTTTCCCCGTGCAGATCATTATGCCGAACCCTTTTGAATTACTGTCAATCCCATACAAGAGGCTGAAAAATGTTGCAAGGTTTGATGCAAACAACACATCTAGAACACCTCACTGTGGATAGCAGTCCTTCTTAAGCTGGGAATCGTTCATACTTCTACAAATGCCTGTAGAGTATTGTTTGCAGAGGCTTACACATTCTCTTCATGTATTTTCCTTAAGGATACCTTGGATACATATGTAAATTATTCTCATAAATATTTTATAGAGACAACAAAATAAGCATACGGGCTGGTGGTGATTAATGTCCTCTTGGCAGCCTTTTCCAGTCATGATTCAGTAGGGTTTTTTCCCAAAAAATGTTTGGCATCTTCCCCACTTTCCCATAACCTGAGAATGGATATAGCTGTTTGTGCCATCTTTCTTTTCTTCCATGTAATTTCTGCTTCTCAGAAAGCACGCTGGGAGATCATGACATTGGGGCCCAACTGGATTCTGTCACTCCTATCACTGATGGAGAAACTGGTATATTCCATGACCTCCACATCTGTTTTGTTGTTCATCTGTTTGTTGTCCTCTTTTCAGCTTCATCTTTAAATGCTCTTGAATGACCAGGCTTCACTGGGTCTCATATCCAGCTTTCTGCAAATTCAATTTTTCCCCCTCCATTTCTTCTGTTTCCCTCCATTTCATGAGGTGATGCTGCTCAAGACATTCTATCATTGTCCTCTGGAAGAATTACTGATCCTTGTCCACACAGCAGCTAAAACCACCTTATGAGGTTACTGCTCAACTGAAAACTTTCAATGGCTACCTGTTATTGCCTCAAGATAAAATGCAAACCTATATGTTGGTTGTGAGGATCAAATGAGATATTTGTAAAGAGCTTAACACAGTATCTGGCACATATAGATGCTAGCTAATACTATTATTAACCTGTCAGACTAATGTAATGGGGTTTCCATAATGGAGCATACCCAGAGCTGCCTTGCCTACTTTTGTAGTCATGGATGCTGGTTGAGTACTGAAGACTTTGGAATGACAAGACACTCTCCTCATTGGCTGCAGGAAGGGCTGCTGGATTGTGGAGTTGTATCTGATCCTTCATGACCCTGTGGACCATACTATCCAGCAGGTTTTCTTGGCAAAGATACTAGAGTGGTTTGCCATTTCCTTCTCCAGTGGATTAAGGCAAGCAGAGGTTAAGTGACTTGCCCAGGGTCACACAGCTAGTGTCTGAGACTGGATTTGAACTCAGGTCTTCCTGATTCTAGGCCCAGTGTTCTATCCACTGAGCCACCTAGCTGCCTGCTGGATTACTAGATCTTTAAAAGAGGGTGACCAGCCCTCACTTTCTCTCTTCCTTTTTCTTCTGTAGATCATGTCAGGACTGTTCAAAATTCTCCTGAGAAGGGTAGAAGAGAGGGGCTAACTTTCCCCCAGAGAAGCAGCATGTAGAAGGCTTCCACATGGTAGCCCGAGTAGGCTAAGTGGGGACACTGGCTACATTTGTCACCATGAGCTTCCTTCCCTCAGCAAACATGAGAGAACAGTAATTCCAAGATGGAGGTATCCAGCCCTGGAGGTAAACTGGTAAATTCAAGAGTTCTAGAGGTACTGGGTATCTTGGTTGATATTGACTACCTTCAAGGGAGTTTCTTCAACAGAAAGAATGAATTCCAACAGGGGGAGGAGCTCAATGCCTGGCCTGACTTGCCAGACGACATAAACCTGGAACCAAAACGTTTGGACAGTGCAAAGTCAAGGTGAAAGGTAAAATGCCTACTCACCAGTTCTACAAACGGCAACGTGTCTTGGTGTTCTATGTATCACTTTCCCAAGAAAGTATGAGTTGTCATAAAACACTATATCCTGTTTTAAGTCTCCGTCCAGGCAAACCTGTGAGTTTCTGTTTTTAGCATTTCTTTAGTGTAGAATAAATAAGTAGCTACCCCACACCTGATTCATATTGTACACCCAAGTACCTTTCCAGACCTCCCTTTTAGGGGGAGACCCTCAACACAAACAAACCTAAGCCTTAAGCCATTTTCACTGGACTCTGAGATGAATCTGTAAAGAACCAAAAAGTGTGAGAAAAGAGCTTAGTCACTCTCATTACAGATCCAGCAACCCCAGACTGAATCCAGTCTTCATCGGCCTGGGACTAGAGCCGAAAGGGGCCCCTTTAAGGAAGAGGGAGAAGGTGCAGCATCTCAACTCCCTCAACCCAGCAGCACTTACGGATGAGAATTTAAGGCCCTTCCTATTCTGGCTCTATCTTGCCTTTCTAGCCTTATTTCACATCAATGCCCTTTTCATATTCCCTATTTCATCCAAATTAGACTGTGTGCTGCTCACCAAATTTGTCGTTTCATCCTCTGCCTCCATGCCAAGCCTTCCCCATACCTGGTATAAGCCATTATGTCAGCCCCACAAGTGAAATGAGGGTTCAGTAACTTCATCAGCCTCTCTCTCCCAGAGTCCACTCATGTTCCAACTCAAGGACACTTGGGCACTCTGGGTAGCATGCCCCAGGTCAACTCCAAGACCCCTAGGAGCCTGGGAATTCTGGGAAGTCTTCCTAACCACCAGGGAATTGATTCCTAAATTCTGGCTTTCCATGGCAATGCCTGTGGGTGTGGCAAGGTGGGTTCCATTGTGATGCCTCACCTCAGAATTCTTAGCTTCCTTTTCAAGCCTCAGCTCAGGTGCCACCTCTTCCAGGAAGTCATCTCTGATTCTCTCAGTTGTGCTCTCATCCCTCTTCAAATTAACTTGTATTGACACTATATTTGTCATCACCCTAGTAGAATGCAGGAAAGGGGCCATCTTATTTTCACCTCTGCATCTCCTCAGTCTAACAGATGAAGAGCTGGAGTTTAATAAATGTTGGCCTACACAAAGTCAGAGCTCAATAAATGTTGAATTGAATCAAACCAAGGGAAAGGAATAGCTAAAAAGCCAAGGGAAGGGAGGGAAGGAGGGGACCTGTGGGATAGCTCAGGTAAAGAGAAGTTGGACCAGGACACTAGGGTCAAACCCAAACAGAATGGGGGCCACTAACCTGTAGATCTAGATCCCTTCGGGCACAGATTGACTCAGAAAACCACAGGTTTACATTATCTATGTTTTACTGTATTTTTTTGTTAAGTATTTCCCAATTACATTTTAATCTGGTTTGGCTGTGCTTGAGTTTTCACAGCCAGTGTGAGCTGGGCCATTTATTTAACGCCTGAGATTCTTTCCAACTTTAGAGCTGTGATCCGGGTTACACTCTGATTAAATATGGGTTTTCCACTGATATACAAGCTGACTAGAAAGGAATGAGAGAAAGGGAGGGAATTGGCATTTATTAAGCACCTACTATGTGCTAGGCAATGTGCAAAGTACTTTACAAATATTCCCATTTGCTTCCAAGTAGATGCCTTTTATATCCCCATTTTACAGTTAAGGAAACTGAGGCAGACAGCGGTGAAGTGACTTGCCCAGGATCACTGAGCTAGTAAATGTCTGAGGCTAGATTTGAACTGGTCTTTCTGACTCTGGACCCAGTGCTCAATCCATGTAGCTGTCACTTTACAATCATCTGGTTGTGTGACACTGGGCAAGTCATTCCCCCTCCATAGAATTAGAATAACAATTGAAATGATAACAAATCCCAGGTTGCTGTGAGGCTCAGATGGGTTTATATATGTGAATGAGCTCTGAAAAGTTCAGGATACTACTGAAATACATCATTAAGAAGAGAAAAGATAATTAACACACACATACACACACAGAGCTGAAGAACCAGGGTCTGAGTTCCAATTCTACTTTTCCTAGCTATATGCCAAGGGGTAAGTCAATTCACCCAAAATGGGATTCAACTTAAAGACAGGAAACCTTGAGTTCTAATTCTCACTCAAAGACACAGCTTAGCTGTGTGGCTCTGGGCAAGTCACTCAACTCTCAGACTCAGTTTCCTCATCTGTAAAATGGGGGTGATAATAACAGTACCAACCTCACACAAGTTTTGCCAGGATTGAATGAGACAAGACATGGGAAGCAGTTTGCAGACCTTAGAGGGACCCACAAAATGCTAGTTATCGTGATTATTATCTGCTCCCCAGTTTTCTCATTAGTAAAACGGGGCTAAGATTGCACAGCCTAGCTCTCACAGGGACGCTGAAATGCTTAAAATAATGTAGACGTTTGAGTCAGTCTAATTATTATTGGCCGGAGAAGATCAAGGTGAGTTGAGGAAGGGGCCTTTCGAGGTCAGGGCTGGGTACCTGCCTGCAATACTGCAGCCAATCAGAGGTTCCAATGGGACTGCTTGATTCTAGTGCTGGGGGCAGATGACTGGTGGTCTGCCCGAGGGGAGAAGAGGAGATGCCTGTAGTCAGAGGGTGGGGAAAAACTACCCAGGCCTGGGTCAGGGAAACCTCTGGGAAGGAAGGCACAAAGAGGAAGGGGTGGCCCTGAGAGATACTGGTCAGGAAGGAACAGCAAAATTTAGCAATGGCTGGATGTGAGAGGTCAAGAGCTTCAAGAAATCTAGAATAACTTCAAAAGTTTTGAGCCAAGAACAGAAGCCTATCTCCTACCCAATAACCTCCCTAAACCTTTTTAGCTTAACAAAATTCTGGACCAGCCTTCAGCCTAAAACAAGTAAAGGGCCAAGTACCTTACCAGCAGGGGTGTGAATCTTCCCCTAAACCCAGGCGGATCCCAAGAGTCTGGTTGGAGGAGAAGGGACTACAGAGATTCCTATCAGAGGCAGCCCAAGGCAGCCATCACTCCATGTTCAGCATGAGGGTGTGGCATTGTGGAGGTCAGGGTAGGGTGGCCAAGTCATAGAGCCATCCCACTGCTCTGTTTCCAATTGGGCTCAAAGGACACTGGCCTGGCCTATTTCAAGGACACAACAAAAAGACCAGCCACAGTCTGGCAGGTTGCAGGAGTAGGTACTCCCTGGGCTTAAGGTGCTGATAAGCCGGGCCTTGGGGGAAGGGTTGGGGGAGGGTGGAGAATGTACTTTGGTCTAACGTTCCAGTCTTTGGAAGCCCAGATCAGAAACATGGACTTCAATATGCAGACTCTGTCTGTCCTGGTCAAGGAGAAGGTCTAGAGGAGTGTTAGAAAAATACTCTTGGCAAACAATCCTGAAAATTAAATACCTAACATATAGATGTGTGACCCTGGGCAAGTCACTTTTTGTACCTCAGTTTCCTCATCTGTAAAATGTATTACAATAATAGCATTGACCTCACAGCATTGTTTTGAGGATCAAATGAGATAATATATGTATAGCACTCTACAAAACCATAACAAACTATATAAATGCTAATTATTATTATTGTTATTATTATTACATTATTATTATTATTATTATTCAACATGCTAGACACCAGAAACACAAAGATGGACAAAATATGGAATCTGCTTCTGAGGTTACAATCCAAGGAGGAGAAAATACACATAAGTGAAAAGCTGTGACAAAAGAACAGTATGCTAAGTACTTTGTCCTGTCTAGACCACATTTGTGGTATTGAGTTTAGTTTGGGGTGCCAGATTTTGGCAAGGACATTGGTAATCGGGAAGGCATTCAGACAGGGCCTTGAGTATATCCCATATAAGGATCACCTGGAGGAAGTGGGGGTGTTTAGGTTGGAGAAGGGGAAGATTCAGTGGCAAAGCAGTAGCTGATTTTCAAGTATTTGAAGAACCTCTATGAAAAGAAGGATTCAACTTGGACTACTTGGCTCCAGAGGGCAAAAATGGCGGCATGTATGTGGAAAGAGGCAGATTTAGGCTTATATAAAGCCTAAAGGACAAAACTTTCTACTTAGGGTTATCTAAGAATGGGATAGGCTGGGTCCAATTGAGGTAGGTTCTCCCTAGATAGAAATCTTTGGGCCTTAAAGGCCATGGAAGACCTTTTGCTTCTCAGGTACTTGGTGAACTCCTCTGAGATTCCTTCTATCTCCAAGCATCTCTGATTCTGTGTAGTATGAAGGAGAGGCCCAAGCATGACAGACTTGAAGAGAAAGAGATCCCTTTCACCTGGTTGGGGTCAGGTAAGGAAGGCTTCCTGGAAGAGGTGACACAGGGCAGGTCCTTGAAGAAAGAAATGAAATTCAAAAGATGAACATGAGAGGAGAAGAGTGCAGCTATGGGGAATGGTGGAAGCAAAGGAACAGAAATGGGAGGGGCAGGATTTATAAAGAGACCTAGAGAAATTCAATTCGACTGGAAGACAGTATATGAATGAGGCATAAAGATCAATCAATCAATCAACGTTCATTTAAGATAATGCTGGAAGGGGAGGTTGGAGCCAGATTATGAAGGCCTGAATGCCAAGGTAAGGAATTTATACTCTGATAGCCACTGAAGTTTTTTGAGTAGAGAAATTGCTATGGGCAAAGGCACATGTAATGGCAGTGGGCAGTGGGACCAGTGGAACAGTTTGGAGAAGACTAGAAGAAGAGAAATCAGGAGAATATTATAATAGTTTAGGACAGAAGAAATAGGGGCCTAAACTGGGGTGGTTGCTGGGAGAGTAGAAAGGAGGGGATGAAGATATTGTGGAGAAAATGCAGGAGAGCCCTTCCCTTACAAAACACTGAAATGAATGGAAAGAAAGGAGACCCCTCAATCTGAAGACATCTTGGAGCACAGATTCCAAATGGACAGATCCCCTCCTTTGAAAACACCGACACAGAAGGCCCTTCGCTTGGCCCTCTTCCATTTAGACCTTTAATGACCAGCCTTGGTTCTGGTAGCTGCCCAAGAAAACCGAAAGAAATACCTCGTCTGCCTAGGACCCTCTTAAGCGTGTCCCCGGAATTGACAGGCAATCGAGAAATGCTGAGCCCCCCAGCTCAGCACCAGTATTTCTCAATGTCCACAGGAGCCTCATCCTGAGACAGGCAGCCCCCACCACCCACAGACAGACTGTCTCACTCCTCCACTCAGATCACCCAGGAGGGATCTCGGTTATCGACCCCCCACCTCTCCCCACCCTCAAGGTACACACAGACACTAGGCTAGCCCACCCCGGCTCAATCCAGTAAGGGAATTTAAACAGTTGAAATCTCAGTAGAGAAGGCTTTAAAGCATAAATTAGCCCCGCCCCTCTCTTCCCAACTGCAGCCCTAAACCTGCAGGGATGAAAATCCTGGGGGATGGGGTAGGGGGGGAACTTATCTTGGGGTCCTTTTCAAAGCGCATCCCGCCTTCCCCCCACCCCACAGCCCCTCCACTCTCGGGGCCGCTGCAGCACCTCCAGTGCCCAGGTTTGCGGTGACCGGGTTCCCCTCGGGGGAATCCCCCGCAGCCGGAGCGGGGTGTCCTGGGGATGCAAAGCTGGGAAAGGCAACTAGCCCCAGAAGGATCCCCAAAAGCAGCCCCTCTGGGATGGCAGGACAAAGCTAAGCTGGAGCTGGGCTGGAGACTGGAAAACCCTGAAGGTGGGCGTCCAAATGGAGCTGCCCCCCCTCCACTCCGCACCCCCTCAAAGGTAGAGGCATCAGGGTCAGTGACTCACCTGGTCCCCTCTGCCCAGCTCGGAGTCCCTCCGGGGTGGCAGCTCCCCTGCCCCCGGGGGAGGACCTGCAAGGCATTGCCTGCTCCGACATCCCCGCCGCGGCCCGGCCGCCCGGTATGAAGCAGGAATGTCACACTGTCGTCTCTGACCTCCCCCCCACCCCACCCCCTTACACTTTCCACAGGAAATGATTAACTCGAACGGCTGCTGGTTCCCATGGTAACCGGCTCTCAACACTTGGAGACATTCTTTGGTGCTGGAGGCGGGCAAACAGCCAGAGCTGGGAAGAAGAGCTGGTGAGCGGAGTTGGGGGGGCTCCCTGGGCTAGCCCGTCCTGCTCCCCCTAGGTGCAGGGCCGGGGTAGAGGACACACACGTGCCTGCATGCGCGCACACGCATGCACATGCATGCACACTCACGCACACCCTTATGGACGCGTGCACACACGCAACAGCGCAGGGCTGATTCTCAGGTCTCCTGCCCAATCCCCTCACCCACCCATCCAACCCCCAAACCAAACACGTGCCAAGGCAGTCAGAGCAGGGAAGGAAGAAAGGCACAAACGCCTTTGACCTCTAAGGGGGAGAGGGGGAGGACTGACCCCCAACAATTTCTGGATCAGCCGAGGGGTCCCGGACCAGACCCAAGAATAGCTATTCCCCCTTATCAAGCCCCCAGACTAAATCTGCTGCAGAAGGAAGGGATTAGGAGGACCTTAAACCCGGGTGACAAGAATGACAACTGACCTTAGGAGCCCCAACTCAGGGAGCCATTGTTCTTTGTCTGCAAAACAGTGCCCGCATTTCATTCTGGAGAGAGCGGCAATATTTCCCCTCTGGGGTGTGGAAGGAGGAGAAGAAAGAAAGAGACTTCACATGCAGCCTGAATGATGATTCTGCTGGAGATAGAGTGGGGCTGGGAAGGGATGGACTCTGTGTCCCCTCTTTGCATGCCAGGTAAAAAAGACAGAATAAAAGACCTAGAAGACGCTGGGAGAGTGCCCCTCTTAAAGGCTGGTTTTGTCTGTTGCTGCTTGGTAGGAGAGTGAGAATTGTCTAGATTTGGGCCCTGGGCTGAAAGTCAAGAATCTTGATCAAAGCAAGGTCCTGCCTAGACTGCAAATTATTTTAGCCATCGGAGCCTCTGTTTTCTCAAATGGAAAATAATTTGTCTATTTAGAAAATATGGTAAATATAAAGATACTTGAGGAGGAGGTGCCAATACATATGGAAAATGTCACTGACAATGTCCAGCATTTATAGGTTCGTCAGCATTCCTCTCTGGACGGATTGCACCACCTCTGAGACTTAGTAAGTGAGCTTTGAGAGTTTCAAAGGCCAAAAAATGCATCTGTCTACCTCCAGCCTGGAGATGGGCTCTCCATATTTAGCTGGGTTGCTTCTCAGACCCAAGAGGCAGACATTCTCCAATTTTTAAAAGCATTATTTATCAGGGCAGCTAGGTGGTGCAGTGGTTAGAGCACCGGCCCTGGATTCAGGAGGACTGAGTTCAAATCTGGCCTCAGACAGATAATACTTACTAGCTGTGTAACCCTGGGCAAGTCACTTAACCCTATTGCCTAATCAAAATAAGGTAAAATTTTTTAAAAGAAGTATTATTTGATTATTTTTTTCACAAGCAACTAATATCTCTCCTTCCCACTGTGCCCCTCCCCCCAACTGGACAATTAAAAGAAGGAAAAGTAAAACTCATCCTACATATGCATATTCTGCCAAAACGGATTCCCATGTTAACCAAGTCCAAAGAGATATGGTTTATCGTATGTTTTAAATGGGGCATTCTGTGGCGCGGTGGATAGAGTACCAGGCCTGAAGTCAGGAAGACTCCTCTTTGTGAGATGTGACCCTGGACAAGTCACTTCACTCTGTTTGCCTCAGTTTCCTCATCTGTCAAATGAGCTAGACAAGGAAATGGCAAACCACTCCAGTATCTTTGCCAAGAAAACCCCAAAATGGAGTCACAGAAAGTCGGACACAACTGAACAACAACACATTTTAAATCCATCCCCTCTCTGGCAGGAGGTAAATGACACGTAACATCTTCAGTCCTTTGGGCTCCCATTCAAAGTCTTTCTCGAATGGTAGCATCTGCTCAGGCACAGGTAGTCTTTGGTCCCCTCCACACCACAGAGAAGCATCTGAGCAGATCTTTGGCAGAGACTATATGGAAGTGCACTCAGGAATCCCCTATCGGTCAGGATCCTGTACAGAAGTTCTCCCCTAAAGCCTGATCACAACCCACAGATAACCCCTGGTTTCGCAAATACAAGGACAAGGAAGGATCCACCAGCTTTTGCAGGTCCCTTAAAGGTAGAAGCGGTATAAGTGTGGGCCTAGCAATGAGCTGTATGATTCTCATGTGAGGACCCATTAGCTAAATTCTCTCAGGCTGGCCACCGAGTGATGGATTTTTAAGCCACAATAACTGATACCTGGAATATTGCAAGGATCCTGACATACTTTCTTTTAAAGAAAAATTGTTTTCCTTTGTAATCCTATGTATTTTATTTTATGCATTTAAAAACCTTATTCTGAAGAGTTCATAGGCTGCACCAGATTGCCAAAGGGGCCCATTTCTCTCTCTTTCTCTCTCTGTCTCTATCTCTCTCTCTCTCTTTCACACACACACACACACACACACACACACACACACACCCTTTAATAACTCCTGGTCCAGAGGGTTCAAATTAGGTAAGATCTCACCACAGTGTGTTCTAGAAGGACTCCCCTGATGGGGAATTCCTCACTCACCTTCTTAGCAGTTGAAAATTACCCAGAGCACTGAGGATTGTCCTGGGTCCCAAAGTCAGTATGTCTTCAGGTCTCTGAGGCCATCTCCATCCATCGCTCCATGACACTTCTCTTTTTCATTTAAGTACCTCTTTTTATTAGCCATTTGTTTTGAGAAGAAAGTTCTATGGAAGAAGCCCTTGGCTGGTATAATTGAAAGAACTGGAGCTGGCACTTTGGGGATTTATCTTTAAAGGCCAACACTAAAGACCTAGCTGTATTTGGGAGGCTTGACATTTATTTGGATAGCATTTCTACTATTATTAGTATCAAAGAGTTTTTAAGAAGCCAAGCAGAAAGGAAAAGAAAACCAGGAAGGGGGAAGGATAAGAATTTTGTGAATCCAAATCAAGAAGAATGTGGCTGGAAATGCTGAAAAGAAATATTACCCAGTTTTTATTTTTTGTCTGTATTCATTTTATTTTGTAGGTTAGCTGCACTTGAAAGCACAACCCAATGGCCATCACTGCCCCAGCCATCTCACTAATGGACTTGTCGAGGATGCTGGTGGAATCCATCAACTTTCTTATGGCAAATTCCAGAGAACGTGTTGCTAGAGCCAAGAATTATATTCCAGGCAGCCCAGAAGACTTTGCTGATGGGATGCTAATACTCACTTTTCTTCATTGGTACTCCCCACCCCATTCATATACATGGTGCCCTCATGTAGTCAGTAGACCAGTTGCCCCCTAAGTGGGACCCTAAGGTCTGAAGCTCAGCATGTGGGTCATCACGCAGTGCTAATTAGGCAGCTAGGTGGCACAGCAGATAGAGTTCTAGGCCTGGAGTCAGGAAGACCAGAATTCGGTTTCCTCAATTGTAAAATGGGGATAATAACAGCATCTGCCTCCAGAGATTGATGTGAGAATCAAATGAGATGATATTTGTAAAGTGCTTAGCCTGCCTGACACACAGGTGTTCTTCTTGAGTCATTTTTCAGTCATGTCTGACTCTTCATGACCTAAAGATATTGGAGTGGTTTGCCATTTCCTTCTCCAGCTCATTTTACAGATGAAGAAACTGAGGCAAACAGGGTGAAGCGAATTGCTCAGGGTGACACAGCTAGTAGTCTGAGGCCAGATTTGAACTCCAAGCTGGGCTCTCTATCCACTGCACCACCTAGCTGCCCCAATACTCCATGACCTAAGTACAAAAAAGACAATTTTGTGATAGAAATATTCTAAAAGATTTATGAGCAATTTTTCTAATTGGCAAGCATTCATTAAGCCCTACTACATGTCAAGCACTGTTCTAGGGGCTGAGGATGCAAATATAAAAGTAAGATCCCTGAAAGAGGGAACAACGCCAGGAGAACCCAGAAATTGAATGATTTCTCTCTCCCCACCAAAGATATTACCGTTTCTTTTTTCCGGGGGAGCTCTCCTCCCAGATCTTCCATTTAAGGAAGGTGTCCAGGGAAGCTGTCTACACTTCTCTGCACTTCTTCATGCCCCTAGTCCAGGTACTTCCCTCTCACTTTCATCTTTTTTATATGTTATCTTCCCCTATTTGATTGTGAACTCTTTGAGGGCAGGGACTATCTTTTGCATTTCTTTGTAATCCCTTAGCACAGTGCCTAGCACATCGTAGGCACGTAATATATGTTTATTGATTGACCAACTTAAATACTACTACTACTACTACTACCTCCACCACCACCACCACTACTACCATCACTACCACTGCTACTATTACCACCACCATTACCACTAGCATCGCTACTACAACTGCTACTACTATGTCTAATAACAATAATAATAATAATACCTGGCATTCATGTAGCACTTTAAGGTTTACAAAGTACTTTATGTAAATTATCCCATTTAATCCTTACAACTACCCTTTGAAGTAGGTGCATATGATTATCCTCCAGAGAAAATAAGTAAAAAAAGATCTTAGTGCCTGATGTATACGTCCACATACACACACATACATATACATATACATGCATGCGTACGTACATTTGTGCCTATATTTGTAAGCACTCAGGCAAAAATGGAGAATTGAGGCTATGTTCCAAATAGCTCATGTCCAAACACTTGACCAGTTTCACTTGAAATATAGCAAGCTCATTGCCTCATTTCTCCCCTCTTCCTGAGTAAACATGTCTCCTGTTTGCTGTAAAATGCACCAGTCCTTTGCCCTCTGAGCTCTGGGTTTCAACAGGAAACCTGTACTGTTCCCAGCTCTGTGGCCCTCCTAGCAGGTAGCTCCAAAGACATGCCTTGACCCTGGAGTCTTAGGAACAGGCACTGACTGGCAGATAGAATTATTGAAGGTCAACCAACCTTGTTTTTTATCAGCTCCCAGAGAGAAAAATGAAAGGAATGCCAAACAGCGCATTCATGTAGATATGTACTTTAAGCACTGGGTAATAAAAAGATTTAGCTAGGATAATCAGGGGCGGAGAATGCAGACTGGAGAGGTAACTCAGCCAGTCTATCTTTCCTTTCTTGGCCATTCTGAATCATACTCCTCCCACAGAAAACCTGAGCAGTCAGTAATCTGCGTGCTAACCATCTCAGCATTTCCATGCTTTTATTTCCTTTCCCCTGAATGGTTTGTAATGCAGTGTTCATACCAATGACACACATTATTTAACATTAATTCCTCATTCTTTCTTTCTTTCTCATTCATTCCACTCCATCTGCTGCTCAAATCGAATTGACGATATTTTAACCAATCTGCTTTTAGTGACAATTTACAGTTTTGCCTCAGATTAAAAATTCTTATCTTCCCTCAAGGCCCAGCTCCAGGACCTCTGACGAGAGTCTTCCATGAACTCTGCCCAGATCCCCTCGATCAAAGGGATCTCCCCTTCCAGAATTTCTCAAAGAATTTTGTATGTTTCTCTGTCTTTTGCATTTATCACACACAACACAGTGTCAGGTATATAATAGACACATTAATAAGAGCTGGTTGATTGATTACCATATTCTGGCCTGTCACATATTATAGTATAGTACATATTCATACTATGTCCTCCTCATTAGATTGCCCTTCATTGGCCATCTTTGTATCGCCAGAACATGTCCTAGCTCTTCCCAACACAGAAAGTATATATGGGATATGTACATACATGAAGGCTTAGTTAATTAATGAATTAACGGTTAGGATCTTTCACTCTGGTCTGTTCTCCTTCAAGATTTATGCTTGTAATGCTATTTTCTGTCATCGACTAATTTTTCCATTCAGAAAGTCAATCAGTCAACAGTTAAGCTCTCACCTTTTCCAGTCTTCTTAGCCTTCATTCTCTTCCACATAAGCTACCATTCGGCAACACTGGCCTCCTTCCTGTTTCTCATACATGACACTCCAACCTCCCACTTCCATGCTTTTACCCAGCTTTCCCCCATGCCTGGAATGCGGTCCCTCCTCATTTCTGCCTCCTGGTTCCCTTCAAGACCTGTCTCTAATCTTCCCTTCTGCTAGGGGTCTTTCCCATTCCCCTTCCCCACGGCTAGGACCTTCCCACTGAGGTTAGCTACCTCCCATCTGTTCTGTGTATTTTTTGCATGTACAGAGTTGTTTGCATGTTGACTCCCCCATTAGAATGTCAACTCCTTGAGGGCAGAGATCATTTTTTTCCCCCTTCTTGGTCTCCTCAGCCCTTAGCACAGGACCTCATACATAGAATGTTATTTCTTCTTGTTGTTGTCATTGTCTCATCATCATCATCATCATCATCGTCGTTGTTATTGGTCCTTCCTTCTCAAAGAGAACCAATGACATCAAAGGATGATTTCTTGAACTGAAATCTGGGGAAGATCTTAATTAATGCTGCTTGGGTGACTGATTGACTGCCCGACATTGTGCTAACATTTTCTAAGTTCCTTACATCTATTAAGACAATGTGACAATAATTAGATTCATCATCTTTCTCTTGGGATGTACCTATTCTTTTGGAAAGCATTTTCATGAAGATGCTCTGTAAGGAATCATTATGGCTGCCAGGTGGTACAGGAGTGGATAGAGCATTGGACCTGGAGACAAGAAGACACAATTTTAAATCCTGTCTCAGACACTAATTAGCTGTGTGACCTTGGACAAATCATTTTACTTCTGCCTGCCTCAGTTCCCTCTTTAGTAAAATGAGGATAACAGCGGCACCTACTTCCCTACCTCCAAGGGTGGTTGTGAGGATAAAGTGAGATAATATTTGTAAAGCACTTTGCAAACTTTAAAGCACCCTATAAATGCTAGCTATCGTTATGTAGTATTATTATTAATTATAATAATACCATGTGGTTCTTGTTTCCTTTAATAACCAGCCACACCTGGAAGCAAAGATAAGCAAGAACTCTGCTCTCTAGTTCAGACCTTTTCATTCTTCTTCGTAGGAGTAAAAAGGAGGAGAAAGAGGAGGAGGAGGAAGGGAAGAAAGAGAAGGAGGAGGAAGGGGAGGAGGAGGAGAAAGAGGAAGAGGAGGAGGAGACAGCAACATCAACTAGGCAATAGAAATGCTGTGCTGAGATTTTAAAAAAAAAAAAAGGAGGGGAAAGGACCTAGTTGTACAGAGATATTTATAGCAGCTCTTTTTGTGGTGGCCAAGAATTGGAAAATGAGAGGATGTTCATCAATTGGGGAATGGCTGAACAAGTTATGGCATATGATTGTGATGGAATATTATTACACCATAAGATATGACAGGCAGGATAGTTTCAGAAAAACCTGGAAAGACTTACATGAACTGATGCAGAGTGAAATGAGCAAAACCAGGAGAACACTGCACACAGTAATCACTATATTGTACAATGATCAGCTGTGAATGGCTTAGCTACTCTCAGCAACACAATGATCCAAGAGAATCCTGAAGGATTCATGATGAAAAATGCCTCCAGAGAAAGAACTGATGACCTCTGAACAAAGATTGAAGCATACTATTTCTTTTTATTTCTTTCTTTCTTCCTTTCTTTCTTCCTTCCTTCTTTTCTTCTTTTCTTTGTTTTGCTCAAGTTTTTTTTTTCCACAAAATGACTAATATGGAAATGTTTTACATGATTACATATGTATAACCTGTATCAGATTGTTTACTATCTCAGGGAGTGGGGAGGGGAGGGATAGAATTTGGAACTCAAAACTTAAAAAACAAATGTTAAAAATTTGTTTTTACATGTAATTAGGAAAAAATAAAATATTTTTTAGAAAGAAAGAAATAGGGGCAGCTAGGTGGTGCAGTGGATAGAGCAATGGCCCCGGATTCAGGAGGACCTGAGTTCAAGTCCGGCCTCAGACACATAATACTTAACTAGCTGTGTGATCCTGGGGCAAGTCACTTAACCCCATTGCCTAACCAAAAAAAGAAAAAAGAAAGAAATGCTGTGCTTGGTTTTTTTTAATCTTTATTTATTTATTGTTTGTTTGTTTGTTCATTTATTTATTTATTTGTAGGCATTATTGCATCTCCTCCTGAGCCTTTGATGGTCTTTCATCACTGCCTCCTCCTCCTCCATTCTTATCTCTCATATAATTATAACAAATGGGGCATCACACCACTCATGGTTATTCTCCTTGGCTTCCAAGACAGTTGATCACCTCATTTTTAGTTACCCTCCTCAGGGGGCTGGTCCTTGTTTGCAAACAGCAGCCAGAAAATTAAGCTCTGCCAGTTATCACAAACTCCTACAACTTTGGGACTTACTCATGACTACAAGTCTCAACCTTCCACGGGCCCTGCCAACGTCACCACCTCCTAGGTGAACCCGATTGGGAACCTAGGAAGTATACACACACACACACACACACACACACACACACACACACACACACACATCAGGGTATCTCCATTGCCATCTTCCTGGAATTGGCACTCTGCCTGCCTTACCTCCCAAATATACTCATATAAATTTTGCCCATAACACACTATAGGAGGTAAATGAGAGAGAAAGGATTATTTCAACTCATTTCTGAATGAAAGTATTTTAGGCTCTGATATTTATGGCCTTTTGAAATAGAGAGATACACACATCTAATAACCATCATCAAGCCCGGGAAACCTTAATGGCTTGAGCTTTAGGAGTAGTGCAGTGAGACACCCCTTCTCATTCACCCGAGCACCCTCACTGAAGGGGCGTCAGAGTAAGTTAGGTAATTCAGGTAACTAGACTGACTCATCTTGGGGATCTATTGCATATGAAATCATTGGCTTCCTCCGCATTGCTTCCCTCATGCCAAAGAAGCTGTGAATCAAATCTAGACACATCCATAGAGCTTTGGGGAGTGAGGGAGAGGGAGGGAGAGAAAAGTAAGAAAATTGATTGAAGCAGGGGCCTAGGGAGAGCAGAAGGAGAGAGCAGCAAATCAGTTCCCACTTAATGTGGCTGATCTGCTGGGAAGAGGCCTTAAACAAAGGCTCTGGGATGAGAACACAGTAATATCCAGTCTCTATTCACTGTCTTCTCTGTATCCAGAAATCTCTTGCAGTGAATGAGATCATGATTACAGACTAAATAAGGGGGAAGGGAGTGAGCATTTATATAGCGCCTACTATGTGTAGGGTACCCTGTGCTTTACAAATATCTCATTTAATCAGGAGTATGTCACACCTGGCAGCAGGAAAGCACACGGACGGGGCCAGTCTCCAAAGGTTAAATTGGGAGCAAACTGTGAAAACAAACAAATCATTCAGGGGTATTGGGAGAGAACAAAGATGAGAAATGTCACCAGGAAAAGGCATGACCTAATTCAGACCCAGCTGTTAAGACAACTTATCATTTAAACAAGACAGGCTAGCCTGATCTTCAACGACCAATCTCCATGTTCTAAAAGAAGACAAATCTCTAAGGGTGAGAAACAAAAGCACATATTATGGCAGCTGCTGATTAGACATACCTTCCTCTGGTTTGTCTCATTAAAAAAAAGATGAGTGCTAGACCACCACCCATTTCTAAGAGGGTAAACAAAGGACAAAGCGGCATTTGGGAAATGGCATTTTATTATTGCTTTTTGTAGAATCCCAGCTTTTCGGTCAAATCCACGCTAGCCCCAGCCTCTTTATCAGCTGCAAATCAATAATTAAATTTTATTAGCAGCTCTGCAGCAACGTTCAGACGAGGCTAAGTGTCTCCTTACAGCAGCCAGGCTGCTTCGTCCTTTATGCCCATCACTGGATGTAAATTCTTCCCTCTTGTATACAGCTCACCTAGAGCCAGAATCTTATTTCCTGAGCACTTCCTTTAGGAGAAATGCTTTTTGAGATTGATGGTACTAGGCAGGCTGAGACCCTCTGGGAAGAAAGGGAAATAAGAGGAATAATTAGTTCGGAGTGATTATTGCGCTAATCTACCATTTTGGGCGTGAACCATGCTCTTTGGCATCAGAGTCAGTGTAGGTACAAGGTACAGATGGAATAAAAGGCAGTGGGCATGTACCTCTTTTACTCTCAATAATGACTCTGCTTTCCTCCCCCACCCCCTTCCCCCAAGGACTATAGGTCAGCGGGCTGTAAGACATTTGTAGAGTGCCTGGCCAACTAAAGCTCTCCATAAAAGCTAGCTGCTACCATCTACTACATTTCTCACCACCCAACCTAGCTCACACGAGCCCAGAAAAAAGGTCAGTAATCCCAAGGGAATAGCCCCAGAGTGAAATGTAACCAGTATCCCATTTTAGGGAAGGGAAGAAACAAATGTCCTATCCAGACTCAATAAATTCGTTTTTCCTGTTAAGCCAAAAAGAACAGGAAAAGAGTTCAGAGCTGCCTGAGGGTGGGGGTGGAGGGGGGATGGGATAAGTTCAGATTGAATTAAATGATTCACGAGGTTCAATGGATAAATAAAATGAGGAGCCTCACAAAGTTCTTCTCTTTTATATCATAAAACCACAACACACTGCAACATGACAGTACGTTGGCCCTCTTCGAGTAACTCCTTCAATCGTGTTGTAAGACAAGTTTATGAGGCATCAACAAACCTGGGCTGAGGATGCCTACCTCGTTGGCTTACATCACTCAGAATGATGCCAGAGAGACAACACCGATGTGGATATTACCCGAGAAGCAACTGGGAGGTTTGAGACCCATGCAGAAGCCTTCCTAAGGGAGGCATTAGGAGTAAGCTATCTGCTGACTTAGGGTTTGGTTAATACCAACCACTATTGTAAAGACTGTATCTACTACCTGGTGTATAGCTAGAGGTGGGTTTTTGGTTTTGTTTGTTTGTTTGTTTTTTGTAACGCAGGTTTATCATCCCCTCTCCATGAGAGCAGGGACTGTTTTTTGTCTTTCTTAGCACGGCTTGGAACATAGCGAACCCTGAATAAATGCTGGTTTTGCTTTTTTCTTTACACCTTCTGAACTTAGCAAAGTTCCTGGTACGTGGAAAGGTCTTCATGAATGTTTGTTGACTGACTCTCTCACAGCTGCCGCTACTCAGAGCCTACCAGAAACAGAGCAGACCTGCCCACGCCTGTTACTTAAGCAGCTGTTGATGAACAGAAAATCAGTCAGGAAGAATTTAGGACTTATTCCTAGGACTTAGGCCTCCCTCATTCTCGTACTTGTGATTCTTAGGTGATGGAGGAACATTTAAGTGGGAATGTCCAAGTGCTTTTGGAGATCTTAGAACAAAGCCTGGGGAGAAAGTCAGGACTGAGATAGAAAATGGCCAGTCATCCATGGGGAAATAGTAACTGACCACCATTCACACTAATAAGACTTTTCAGGTTGACAGAGGTCTTTCCTCCCAACAATCCTGTGAGGTAGAAGTGTAAGGACTGTTGTCCTTATTAGAAAGAAAGGAAAACTTAGGAACAGAGAGGGGAATGACTTGTCCACAATCACATGCAGCTAAGTTAGGTCTCTTGATATCTAAACCCAGCATGATTTCTGCTTTAGCCATTTGGGGTGGGTAAGGGTTGAAGTGAAGGGAGTATCAAAAACTGAGCTTTGGACAATCCCCATAGTCCATCCACTGTTGATAGAGTGCTGATTCAAATGCCAGTTCAGGGCAGAAAGGAGAATTTAACATACTCTAAGTTAGGTGGTACAGTCGATAGAGTGCCTGGCCTGGAGTCAGGAAGACCTGAGTTCAAATCTGGCCTCAGACGCTTACTAGCTGTGTGACCCTGGGCAAGTCACTTAACCCTGTTTGCCTCCACTTCTTCATCTGTAAAATGAACTGGAGAAAGAAATGGCAAACCACTGCAGTATCTTTGCCAAGAAAACACCATATGGGGTGACAAAGAGCCAGACAGGACTGAACAGCAACCAACATTCCTCATCTGTGTTAGTAGATAGCAGCAGAGGCAGCATAACGGGTAGAGCATTGGCCCTGGAGTCAAGCAGACCTGAATTAGAATCCTTCCCCAAGTGCTTACTGTGTGACCCTGGGAGAGTCACTGTCACCTTCAGACTCAGTGTCCTCATCTGCAAAATGGGGAGAACACTAGCATCTCCCTCCCAGGACTGCTGTGCTTATCAAAAACTAGATAACATATGTAGAGCACTCTGCAAATCTTTAGCCTATATCAATCCCAGTTGTTATTAAGAGCTCCATAGCCAAGGTGGAGAGGATGCAGTCACTCACATGCCAACCTACAAAAGCATCCCCCAATAGAGGGAAGATGGTTTTCAAACTTTAAAAGGTCAACTTATATTCTTGTGTCCAGCCCCCACTTGCTAAGGATTATTTACCTTATTGAGGGTTAATTTACACTGGTGGTTTGGCTCCTCTTACAGAAAGTAGGAAGGTCTGCCCTTAGATCTCTGCTGAAATACTTGGAGGCCTTGCCTTTTACAGAGGCTGGAAGTCGGTTTATTTTGTAATTATTAAAGAGCCAGCAAGGTTGTTCCAAGATGTTAGCAGATCCTACATTTCAGGGTAGGGCATTGACCGGAGCCAGAATGAAGGAGGCTTGGCGCCAGCCAGCATCTTCCATTTTTGTTTTGTTTTTTTAATTTATTTATTGTCATTCTGAAGTTAAACACCAAATAAGATGGGCATTTCCATGTGCAGAGTGAAATAGAGAGGATTGTGTATGAAACTGCAAATCTCTATTATGTCCTGCTGGCTTTTCTTTGTAATAAATACAACATGGGACTTTCGGAGTTTCTTTTTATTAAAAAAAATTATTTTTATTTTGAACTTGACAAATGCAAAAAAAAGTATGTCTATATACATAATATATATGTATATATATAAAATAATGAGAGACATGTACATGAAAGTATGTCTATATATATATAATATAGAGGGACATGTACATGAAATTACAGGCTTCTCTATCTTGTGCTGCTGGCTTTCCTTTTTAAGTACGTAGTAAGGTCAACCATGGCTTTCAAAGCTGTGCTGTTTGTGTGTTTTTCTTACTGGCCTTCCCTCTGCTCTTATATGGGAAGCCAACATTTTGGGGGATGGCTAAACAAATTGTGTCATGTGACCAAATGATCCCAAGCAATAAGAATGAAGTGAACAATTTCAGAGGGAACTAGAAAGACCTTTAAGGACTGATGCAAAGTGAAGTGAGCAGAACAATCCATGTGATAAATAAATTAACATGGTAGAGAAAAACAATGAAAGACTCTAGGACTCTGATCAGTATTATCATTGCACTGATAGCAGAGAAAGAGTAAAGATGAAGCAAACCGTTCTTCTCCTACCAGAGAAGGGGGGCGGGGGGAGAGACAGAGACAGAGAGAGACAGAGAGACAGAGACAGAAGAGAGACAGAGACAGAGAGAAGAGAGACAGAGAGGAGAGACAAAGAGAGAAGAGAGAGAGAGAGAGGGACAGAGAGAGAGAGAGGAGAGACAAAGAGAGGATAGAAAGAGACACACACAGAGAGAACTTAAAATGCAGAAAGAACCAGATATTTTCAGACATAACTAATATAGGGACTCACTTTTGCTGGACATGTATAGACATGTATTGAAGAATTTTTAAAAATTTTATTTACTGTGAGGTAGTAGTGGTTATTGCAGGCCTGGAGTCAGGAAGACCTGAGTTCAAATCTACCCTCTGATACTTACTAGCTGTGTGACTCTGAGCAAGTCACTTTACCCTGTTTGCCTCAGTTTCCTCATCTATAAAATGAGCTGGAGAAGGAAATGGTAAACCATTCAAGTGTCTTTGCCAAGAAAACCCCAAATGGGGTCATGAAGAGTCAGACAGGACTGAGGCGACTAAATAACAAAATATATATTAATATAGAAAGTTAAGGCGAAGCCAAATGTCTACAATTAGCTCTTCAATATTCTTCAGGAAAACAGTTAATCTATTTCTGAACCAAAGAGTTCTTAGATGTAAACTGTAGAAAACACCCAAACATGAAAAAAGCCTGTCATCCATGGAGCACAGCTGCAAGTCTGTTCACAGGTGCTGGCCAGCCCCCCTCTCCATAGAAAACTCGAGGCTGGTGGAATGTATATAAGGAGAATCACGCATTTGAGGAGGCTTTTCAGGTTCCTTTTCACACAGGAAGTTCAGGAGCCCGAGCCAGGCTGCTCCTGGAATCTCTGCTCCTAAATGCTCTGCCAATCACTCCCTGCAAAGCCTTGTGTCCCTACCTTCTGTGTCTGTTGATCTATTTGTAAAAAGAGATTCCCAGTCACCTCCCCCACAAGAGTTTGGGAAGATAAACAGACCTTGTTCATTGGCTTTGAACTCTGGAAATAAAAGCCCCAAAATACTATGATTATGATGATACAAGCTTCTGGGTGGCAGACACTTTGGCTGTTAAACAGCATTAACAAGAGGAAGCCGTTTAACTTTATTTTCAGTGACTAATGTGACCCAGTCTTAGGGAAGGCTGCTAACTAGGTCTTCTCAGTCACTCAGAAAGCATTTACTAAATATTTGCTATGTGCCAGGGATACATGGCAAAGGAAATCTATCCCATCTCTGGCTTCTTCTAAAGCAAGAGGTTCCTAACTTGGGGTCCATGGATTCCCAGGCCTCCACAGAGAGATTTCAGCTGTCTGTACTATTAGACTTATTGAGCTTAGTTTTAGCAAAGTGCCGAGCATATGGTAGGCACTTAATAAATGTTCTTTGCTTTACTGAACTCAGGGGAAAAAATTACATCTTTATTTTCACCAACCTTTAACTGAAATGTAACATTTCTTTCAATCCTGAGTGTAGGCAACAGATATTATTCTAAGAAGGGGTTCATAGGCTTCACTAGGTTTCCAAAAGGGTCAGGACACAAAAAAGTTTGAGAACCCTTGAGCTAGAGGGCATTTAATTTAGAATAGAAGTGCCTGCCTGACCAATATAAATGGCAGCCTTTTTATTTTTAATTCTTCCACTTACAAATCTCTCCCTGACTTTGTTTATTTTGAAAAAAGGCCTGTTTCTTCAAGAAGAAAATGGCTGTCAACATATTATAGTTACTGCACATGTATTACCTATATTGAGTTGTTTGCCTTTTCAATGAGGGTGGATGGGGAGGGAGGAAGAAAGAAAATTTGAAACCTAAAGTTTTAAAAACATATGTTTAAAAAAAATGTTTTCACATGCTACTGGGAAATAAGAAATACAGAGATGGGGTATAGAAGTCTATCCTGCCCTACAGAAAAATAGAAGGGGAAGGGGATAAGAGAAGGGGGGAGAGATAGAAGAGAGGACAGACTAGGGGAAGGGATATTCAGAATGCATGCCATCTTGGGGTGGAGGGAGGGGTGAGATGGGGTGAAAATTTGGAACTCAAAAACTTGTGGAAGTGAATGTCTAAAACTAAAAATAAATAAATTTATATTAAAAAAAAATTGTAGTTACACATTAAAGCTATGATTTCTTCTATTAAATCCTACCCAAAGCACTTGTTCTAACAAATCAGTTTAGACACAAACCACTCCGTGAGTCTGGATGATGATCATGCTTCTAATGTCCGAAGGCTCTTTATTATCCCAGGTTCATCTTTTGACTGGGAGAAAGGTACACACCTTTGACTTCGCTAACACTTCTCGTCCTCATTCCCGTGGAATGCGCCAGGGCAATAACGACCTTTCACTTTTGGTCTCCACTCCCTCTAAGGCATATTAAAAGAACGGGGCACCAGAGCTCCTGTTTCATACCCTTTCCATAAGGTGGCTTTGGAGTGGGGAAACTAGACACTGCCTGGAGGAAAGATCAGTCATTCCCACACGATTAGTTATTAATATTTTATGCCATTAGCCAATAAGGGTCTGGGCTCATAAAACTCTTCAGCAACAGCCAGCTTTGTGGAAAAGAGCAGAGCACGGGAGGCTTTGCCACAACCATGAATCTTAGAACAACCGGCCTGCTCTCGCT